GCCAAAGCACACAAGTACGCTATTCCCCACTCACATTGAAAATTTTATAATATTAGGGTATACTTTAAACATAGTCTCAAGATCTTTTACGACTAATAAGCATTTAATCAATAACACATAATCTTAAACTGTAATTTCTTATTAATACAAACTTTTAGTGCGACGGTGCGTATACGTAACATTAAAAATTGCACTGGTTATATACAAATTGTTCATGTATGACTACACAGTTAAGAGAAAAGGAATTTATTGGAGCAATATTGGATAGAAGTATTAGTAGAGTTTTTATTTTAAATAAAAACTATTTATATATACTACACAAATAGCATGTAATATATCTGGGAACTTTTAAAAAATAAAATTTCATGCATAAAAAATTTACGAATTTTCCTTCAAATATTTATAGCTCAATTTCAAATAAAGTTTTTAAAAATATTAACATGAAATTAAATAAGTTAAAAATAATAAAGGAAATGTAAAAAAATATCAAATCAAACTACAAATTATTGAGCACCCTAACACAAAAGGAATATGTTTTCTGAGGTTAGCAACGTCGAGGATAGACGATGGAAAGTGAGAAAGGCTCGGCATTATGAAATTAAGTAGCGAAAAAATTCAAGTTGAAAGCGTTTCAGAAATGTGCAAATAAAAATAAAAATTTTCGAAAGATTAATTAAAAAAAAATAGCAAAATCTGTGCCAAGAATATTTTGTAAGTTTATCGCCTAAGAAATAAAGTATTTTTCATTTTAGGGTGTTAAAAAAATATATAAGAAAATGTAAATACTAACTATCTTTTGCAGACACGATGAAGTCAATAGTTTTATGTCAAGCCACAATGTATGGTTAACTTCATTTTGATATCACAATTTTTATTATTATAAGATCCGCCATACAGGTTACCTATCAAAATTTTATGTCATGCCAAATGTTATGGCCTTCGTATTCTTTTGCATTTTACAATATTTAATATAAAAATACATATATGCTTTCATGAAAAATTCAAAGCAAAATTTTATGTTATGCCAAATTTTATGGTTAGACATATTAAGTATTTAAAAATATTTTAGGACATATTATTTAGTTTTATACATGCAAAATAATTTTATGCCGTATATTTTAAATGTATATGTTGTCCACATGTCAAGGCTATCGTATTTTTCTTTCTCTTTTTGCATTTAACAATATTTATAACATGAATATTCCTTCAAGAAAAATTTTGATCCTACGCCAAATTTAACGGTTAACTACTTAAATTAACATATTTTGCTTAAAAAAAAACTAAAAAATTAATGTTTACAATATTTTATGGTTATTATTGTTTATAAAATTCTCTGTTTTTTTTATATGCGATAATATACTTTTTTTTAAGTTTATTTTATGGTTAACTTCATTTTGATTAAAAAAATTTTATTTATATATTTTTCCTTACAAAAAAATCAAATTAAAGTTCTTGTTGCATCATATTTGAATACTAGAATTATTATCATCAAAAGCATGGCTCAAACTAAAATTCCATGTTATGCCATATTAGTATTTATTGATATTTAGAATCAATATTTTTTATATTTTTCCTGGAAATGTATGGTAGGATTTTTTATAACTACTATGTCGAACAAAATGTCATATTTTAAATTTTTTCATACCAAACAATTAAGCTTAAAATTATGATATAAAATCTTTACTTTTCCCATTTGATAATTTTGAAATTATTTAAAAAACATTTTTTTCATGTTTTATAGCTCTGATTTCAGTAACTATAATATCAACTGTTAAGCCATATTTTATGGTATGGCATACATTGTACAAAGAAATATTTTGTGGCAAGGCATATCTTATGACAAGCCATGTTTTATGACAAGCCATATTTTATGCCAAGTCAGATTTTATACTAACCAATATTTAACGATGAGCAAGCCATATTTTGAGTTAACAATTAAAAGATTTTGTTAAAAAACTGGCAAAATAAATTTGTAAATATTTGTAAAGTAATAAATTTCGTCCTCCGAATAATTTACGGCTCACCATCAACTGTAACATATTTTCATTCATTTCATAATTAAATTGAGATTGCTGTAGATATAGCTGTGATTTATTTAGCAGTTAATAATATATTTATAATAGTTTTTATCACTGGCTCAATTTTATAAAAAAAAATACTATCAATATTTCATACTGAAATTTCCACATACGCACACACACCTTCACATAAATACCGCTTCAGCTTATAACTGAATTTAAAGCACATAATCGATATTTTTTATGCCCATATTATGACATTATCAGTTACTGAAAAAAAGAAATATTATTATTATACATTTTGTTATAGTGTTGACGTTACCAAAGAATAAACACCAAGCAAATTATTGGTGTTACAGCTTCGAGTTGCATAAAAAAATTATGTTTTCCGTTGAAAACTAGTAAATTATATGAAAAAGTTGTAACACACGCCTATTGTTGAAAAACAATTAAAAATAAGTAACTGAAAATTCGAAAAAACAGATACCCAAAACCGCAGGCAAAAACCGCACACGCCTCAACATATGCAATACTTCGACACAATTACATATTTATTTATTTATGCAGAGACAACAAGAAGGAGCATAGGGTTTTTTTTTTGTATTCACACCGCAAGAGCCAATTTGCTTTTGTTTTTATTTATTTATTCATTTTTGTGTAAATAAATAATAATATACCAATATGAAAATTAACACGTACATCTCTTTCATATATTTAAATGCACGTATGTACGTATTGTACATACATATATCTCACAGGAAGCTGACAGCTGATTTTTCGCTTGCCAAAACAAAAAAAACGGCTTACAGTGCATAAATATGTAACACCTTAACGCAGTTATATGCTAAAATAAATATATCTGAGCATAAATAAATAAGCGAAAGCTTTGTAACGAAATCATATGGATATATATAAATGTAAACATATAACGACAGCACACATTTCACTCAGCCACTTAATTGTGTCGTATTTCACTCGGTGCTTTGTAAACATGAAACGCAGTTAAGTGCAGTCATTTTTATATGTACACAGCCAAATGCGCTCACATCATATATAATATATAAGCGTGCATATATTAAACCAGGCCTACATATTTATGCAAATATTGCTGTGGATAAATTTATAAAGCCCCATGTTTGTTAGTATGTGTTAACGCTTCAAAAGGGCATTTTACGGAGAAATTCAATTTACACCAACAGCCATTTAATTTAATAAACTTAACCGCCGATTGAAAATGCGAGTCCAAATTTTGCGTGAATCCTTTTTTACCTCAACCAATATTAATCACTTTGCACGCTTGTGTATACTCATATGTAGAATAGTAACTTAAATGCTATATAATTTTTTTCTTCATTTATTATATATTTTATTTAATTTTAACGTATTTAATTTTTTTAATTTAATATCATTTTTATTTTCATTTTTTCTAGTTTAATTTACTTTTATTTAAATGTATTTTATTTATTTAAATGTTATAATATTTTCGATTTATTTTATTTTATTAAAAATTATTTCATTATATTTTAACTTTCTGAATTTTATTACACATTAAACTATATATTTACATTAAATTTAATTTTATTTTTTTATCCGTTTAATCTATCTTGTATTTGTATTTTAATTTATTTTATTATAATGTATTTTAACTATTCTAATTTTAACATTGATTTTTTTAACTTCAATTTATTTAATTTTTGTTTACTTTATTTTTTAATTCTATTTAATTATACTTTATTTCAAATGAGTTGATTATATTTTATTATATTATAATTTTTTTTGCTTATTTTATTTTATTCTATGTTATCCTGTTTTATATTATGTTATTTTATTTTATTTATTTTTATGTACTTTATTTTATTTTGTGTTTATTCATTTTTGTTTTTTATTTGATTCAATTTCATTCTAATTTACTTTATTTTATTTTATTTATTTCATTTAATTTTATTTTATTTTATTTTATTTTTTTTTCATTTTATTTTAATTTATTTTTTTTTAGTTTATTTTGATTTATGTTATTTTATTATATTTAATTTTATTTTATTTTATTTTTTTTTATTTTAGTTTATTTAATTTTATTTTATTTTTCTTATTATTTTTTTTTATTTTATTTTATTTTATTTTATTTTATTTTATTTTATTTTATTTTATTTTATTTTATTTTATTTTATTTTATTTTATTTATTTTTTTTTCATTTTATTATCCACAGTACCACAACGCAATTTACCAAATCAATATCGACGTCTCGAAGTGCTACTCAACAATACAATGCATGTATATGTACATAACAAGATTTTCACATGCAATATTTCCTAACAGCCACTAAGTGCCTTCAACATAATTCGCTGAGCGCCGAAAAGTAGACTACACTACATATTGCATTTCAGCAAATAACATTTCAAAGCAGCGCAACAATGTCAATATGGCAAAGCAAGACTGCAACATGCAACAACGCATTTTATCAACATACATGCACTTCCCTATAGATATGGAATAAAGCAAATGCTTTCAACAAACTTTTATACTAAAACTCTGCCAACCAAAGATGAAATGTAAAGTGAAAAGTAAACTTCTTAGATTTTACTTCAGTTCAGGGAACAGATCGATTTTCGAAGTCAAAGGTGAGCGCACACAAGGCGCACTTCAGCCAGAAATGGTGTATGATGAAATATTAGTGGGTGGTGTGACACTAGAAGTGTGCTTTATGGCTTGTAGGGGGGGGTAAGTATGTATGCAGTGACATAGTTCTTCGCAGCAGATGTGAAAGGAATACTTTATGAAAGATTAACGAACTTTCTATTTAGGCGATATTGAAATCGTGTAAGCACATATTATTTATGTACCTAATAGACGAAGGGAAGGAATAGAAGCTGTGGCGTATACGTAACTTGTTAAATCGTCAGGTAAATCATATCGGAGACAATAAGGCTAGTGGATACAATAATATAATGCTATTTTTTTAATGTTTAATTGCTTATGCTTACCATAACGCACGTAGAGACTGCAAATCTAAAAAGAAAGAAACAAAGAATTAGTATGGAGGAATTTTTAATCAACAAAGATTTGAATTTTTTTATTTTCGTTTTCTTAAGTTTCGGTAACTCTTTTTTAAACCAGTAATTCATTTCGTTTTCTGTTGTAAATTATATTACTAATCTTTTTATATTTTCATTAATTTTTTATATTACTCTATTCCATTTGATTAGAAAAGATTAGTTACCAATTTGCAAGAAAATAACTATAAAGAATCGTTATAACTTAAAAACCTCCAACTGCTTGCAAAAATTTAAAGCCTCACGACAACTGTGCCTCTTCCCACGAGAATAAGGGCGTCCCCTAGAAACACTTAAAAATTTTCTAAACAGTCACCGCATGTCTTCCGAAAATTGAAAACTTTATCAGAAGTGAAAAACAACTGTCAGTTGAGCTGCCGGAAATGACAAAAGGACATGGTTTGCCAAATACACAAAGGTACAAAGAGGTAAGCAAGCCCACACCACCATAGAAAAGGAAGAAAAAAATACTAGAAAAGTGTTTGAGAAGAAGTAAAAACTTTTCAAAAACAAATAAAAATATGAGCGAACGGTTATTTAGTTAGCAAAAGATAGTGAAGAATAGTTAGAAATGCCACCTTTGACCGGTCACCACAGGCTGTCACACATACAAAGACAAATAATATGTAAGAATTTAAGCAGAAAAGATGAAAATTAAATAAGAGAAAAAAAGGAATATTTGAAATAAAAATTAATGATAAAACTAGAAACTGTGAAAGTTTTATGACAAGTTCACCAGATGTTTGATTAAATAGGCAATTCCAGGGTGTAAAATGCTTTGCAAAGAAAATAATAAGAATATAAGGCTGAGGAAGCTAGAAAAGACTGGTTTGCAAATTCATACCGCATAATTTGGTAAGAAAATCAAATTTTTTAGCAAAAAAAAAGGCAATGCGGAGGACTTACTTGTTTAAAGGGGCCTGAAAGGCAGGTTATCATATTTTTCCTCCAACAGTTGTATTTTAATTTTTTTTCAGCGAACAAGAAATTATCCAACGTAGGAAAAAATTAAATGAAATCTGTTGCACCTAACTGCTGTATTCTAGGAGTTATAGTTAAAAATTCCATTTTCGAAAAATATTTTGTATGGAGGCTATATGCAAAAATAGTTACAACTTCATAATTTTTCCAATTGAACATTTGTACAGAATAACTAAGCTGTTTACCAAAGTTCAAGTTTCTAGCTATTCATAAAATTGAGTTATGAACTAAAATACCATTTTTGAATTGTAAATTGCACGACAGCTATATGTTATAACTAACCGAATTCGTCACTTTGCACAGATAATACTTTGCTAAAAGTTAGTAAGCTCTCTACCAAATTTCAATACCCTAGGCATTCAAATAGAAAAGTTATGTCCCAAAATGACGTTTTCGAAAAGTTTTTTATGTGAGTGTCGTATCTAAATATGATGTTATTTTCGCGAAATTGATTGTACATTATGTGTATACCATAACTAAGAACAGAAAGACAAATTTCATCTAACTAGGTTTTGAGTTTTGAGATTTATAAGCCAAAATGGCGTTTTTGAAAAAGTGCTTGTATGATAGTTTTGTGTTAAAATAAACCATTTTTGATTATTTCCACAATTTATAGTAAACTAGTTGTAGGTGAGCTTACGACCAAATTTCAACACTGCAGCTTTTGAAATAAAGAAACTATGGCATAAAATGACGTTTTCGAACAAACTTTTGTATGACAGCTATATGTTTTAAATGTCTGATGCTGACAGTTTTCGCTGTCCGCTATCTGCACCTGATTAGTAAATATTATACTGAGTTTCATAACTCTAACTGCTTGCTTTTTAAAATAGGCAGTCTGTATATTATTTTTGAAAGTTATTTTGTCTTGAAGTTAAATATGAGTTGAATATGTAAAATATTAGCGAACGGTATCAAAAGAAGTTTAAATACTAGTAGGCCTCGTCGCAAGCAACTGTTGGCTATACTTAGTCCTAAAAGAGTTAGGGGGAAGTGGAGAGTGTTTCTTCAGTGCTTTGTGTGGCTAGAGCTGCATCGTTCTAAACACACCGTATTGCTGCATGGTGACGTTGCATGACGCAGCGTGACATTGCATAGCATACGGCAACTCCTAGTCAGTCTACAGTAATGGTAAAAATGTAGCCAAAGTAGTGAGCTTTCGACCTGCTTGCTAGCTTTCATGCAACAGCAACAACTCAATGCGTTAGTGATGACGTTGTCGCCGGCAATGACGACTAATTTCTCAGTGGCATGCAACCAAAAGGCATGCAATTGTTGGAAAACTAACACACACACACGCACACATACTTGCCAGCACATCCATGTACACAAATATATATATATCTATATAGGGCAGGATACGTTGTACGCTGTGACGGAGCTTTAATGCAACACAACTCGTTGGTAAGCAGGCAAATTCTATGCCAGCGTGTACAGCCGTGCATATGAGTGACGCAATAACAAAAGAGGGAATTGTTTTGAGCTAAAATTATATGTATCACGCTGTGCGGTAGTCTGATATCAAGGTGACATGATTTATTTTTAATTTCTTTCACCCTTTTTTCGACATAATTTTGCGTAATAAATGGGGTGAAAAGTTTTGCGGTTATTAGAAAAATTATCGTTTTCAATTTCGAGGCTGTGGTAATGGAAGTCTACGAGTTCAATTGTTTGCAATTCACATTTTACTTTAAGGTAATATTTGATAACCATGCCATCACTAAGGGCGCGAGAAATACCGCAGACTAGGACTAAATCAACAATATTTTGAGGTTACTATAATAAAAGCCGCAGTTATAAGCAAGATGTCTGATTTGGCCGAAATTTTCTTTTCCACCCTCTCCCTCTATATTTTTTTTCTCCCTCTCTCTAACCGCCCCCCCCCCCTATCTTAGTATCTTCCGTCTCGCTCTCTTTCTGTCTCTCTGTCTCTCTGTCTCTCTCTCTCTCTCTCTCTCTCCACCTCTCTCACTCTCTTCCGTCTCGCTCTCCTTCTGCCTCTCTCTTTCTCTCGTTCACATTCTTTCACTCTTTAACTCTCTCCCCATCTCTCTCTCCTTCTTCCTTCCCTCTCTCCTTCTCATTTTCCCTTTCCTTTTCTCTCCCTTTCCCTTTCCCCGTTTTCTTTCCCTTTTCCCTCTATCTTCTTCTATCTAACCTCTCTCTGCATCGGTCTCTCTCTCTTTCACAGTCTTTTTCTTTCTTTAACTGCCCCCCCCCCCCCTCTTTTTTCTATTTTCCCTTTATCGTCCTTTTTCCTTTTTCTTCTTCTGTCTCTCCTTCACACTCTTTCCCTATTTAACACTCCTTCTGCACTCTCTCTTTTCTTCAATCTTTTTCTTTCCTCTCTCTCCATCACTCTATTCACACTCCTACTCTCCTTAACTCTCTCCCTCTTTCTTCCTTTCTCTCTCTCTCCCATTCTCTTTTCCTCCACCTTCCTTTCCTTCCAACTCCGTTTCCATTTTATAATCCCTTTCTCCCTCGCTTCCTTTCGCGCTCTCCCACAGTCTCTTACCCTACCTCTTTCTCACTGTCTCTCCTACCGTATATCTCTCTGTCTCAGTTTTCTATCTCTCTACTCCTCTCTTTTACATTTGTCTCCCCTTCTCTCTAACACTCTCTCACTGCATATTTTTCAACTTTCACTGTCTATTTATCTCTCTCTACCTTTTTCTTTCGTTCCTGTTATGAAGTTCCTTTTTTTCTTGTTTATCTCGTCAAAGCATAGACGACTGAGCTCACTTCCTTGATATTGTTCCCTCCAAAAGATTGATAAACGGAAGTAAAGTAGTGACTTCTGGTAAGGAATCTCCTTCGGTTCGGAAAACTACACAACTCCACCGCTGCCACATTAAAGAAGCTTTAACATAATTTCCTACTTTCCACTCCGCCAACTCGCCCACCACATTCACACGCCACAAAATCAAACAAAGTTTTCAAAAGCTTGTCAATTACATTACTGCCTTATCGCTCAACCACTTAAAAAGTAATTCGCATCTAAAATATATTTGTATGTGCATTATGTATGTGTGTACGTACTCGCGCTCGAGGGCAATCATTTATGATGAACCCACTTCAATGAACCCCTTTCACTAAATAGAATCAAATACTTGGAACGCATAAACGCCAAACTGCCTGCGTTGCGGTGACAACCTCTTCAGTGCGAAGTTGTCGCAAAACATGCAAGCTGCGGCGGCAGCGAACTGCGAAAGCTCGAAGTAAGTGCCGGCGGCGTAAAATAAATTAAAAACTTTTCCAGTGTCGACAATCTTGAGACGATGGCATACATATTTGGCCGTGGGCGATTGGCGGTTGACCGTCGACGAAGACATAAACGTCGGAAAATATTACAAAAAATTGATGGAGAATGCAAAGAAGTAGCGCAAGTGGCATATTTTTATGTGGGCATAAAAGACATTATGAGTAGATGAAATGCATAATTTGAGGTAAACAACAGGGAAATAGCATAACGGCATAACACGCACGTTTACGAGTGTATGTATATATATTTAATTATTTTTTTTACTAAAGAATCTTAATTTTTTTCTCAGTTAAAAATTCTTTTAAAATTGAATATATTTTTTTTTTTTTTTTGAAAAAAAGATGCCAAGGATACTCGTCAACTGACTGAAGGAAAGGCAGTAGGAAACACTTCTCAGCCTACTAAATAGCTGCAACATCTTCTTTGCTAAATATGTGCGGACGACAGCATGGCCGAAGATTGAGTTTGATCTACCCAATCCACAGTTTACCCCAAATACCCTTTGGAAAGCCTCCACAATATCGCATCTAAGCTTTTATAGAGTGTTTCAGACGTGGCAAATCAACCATTGCTTGCTCCATATTTGATAAGAAAGCATAGGATATGAGTCTGGTAGTGAACGAGAGCAAGACGAAAAATCTCCTGTCTTCAAACAAACAGTCAATGCATTTGCGACTCGACTCTCACGATACTGTTAACAGTCATAACTT